AACCAAGAGCCAGGAGCTTCCCCAGGGCCTCCCACATGGGTGCAAGGGCCTAAGCTCTTGAGCCATCTTCTGCTGGTTTCCCAGGCTATAAGCAGAGAGCTGGATTGAAAGTGGAACAGCCGGGACTCAAAAAGCACCTATATAGGAAGCCAGTAAGCAGAGACTTACACCACTATGGCTTGGTGCTAGTCCCCAAATAAGCAAAAATAGATTTTTACTAAATAAAATTATAAATAAAAATAATAAATCTTTACTAAACAGAAAATAAAAGTAAATTTTTACTGAATAAGTTTTATTTACAGTACTCACAACAGTCCCTGTACACGGTAAGAATGCAGTAAGCGTTAGCCATTGCAGCTATTATTCCCTTGGAATTCCATACACGTCTCGGGAGGTTGCCACGCTCTTCCCTCTGCAGAGGAAGCTCTTCCACGCACACGTGAGAACACCTTTTCCCTTGAGCAATTCCACCCAGCCTTCAAACGTCGCTGAAAGCACCTCCACGAAGGACGCCTTCTCAAACCCTCCAAGCGTGCTTTAGTCCCTCTGCCACATACTATTCCCTCAAAGTGTGTAAAAGCTCCATTCCTCCATTTCCTCAAGTCTGAGACTGCCAGTGAGTCTAACATTCAATCAGTTCACAAGAAATAATTATCCTAACACACATTTATCTGAAAATGGAGGGACAAGTCCATTGTGTTAATTACTTGTTTTCTAGATATCGTCCCCTCTGGAATCGGAGTTCCACAAAGCAGGGAGCGTGCTAGCCTGGTCCACTGCACATCCCGTGTCCGTCGCCGAGCACCTGCAGACGGCAGTGCCCAGCCAGTATGCCCTGACAGGAAGAGCTCCTTCTCTAAAAAACAAGCCATAATTTGAACGAAAGACAGAATTCATACACTTATTACACACTTATTGGTAATTCTCTACCTTTTAAAAATCTGTCTTTGGCAAAAGATTTTTTTATATTTAATTTATATTTTATATTTAATTTTATATTTAATTTAGCATAACCTAACAATGAATACTCACAGTAGTAAAATTACTACAAGAAGAAAATTAGCTGTGTCAAGCTATAATGACTATGGCTCTGTAACACAACAAAATTTCCTTTGAACTTGCTGCAATGTTTTCTTCCGTTTTTTTTTTTGCCTTAGGCTATTAATCCATGATCTAAAGCCACATGCTTCTGATTTTCATTCTTAAATGCCTAGATTGGCTATTACTGTAAAATAAAATCTAACAAACTACAAAAAAAGTAGGGTGTGTGCGTATACATATGTAATGATGAAATATTCAGTCCCAAAAAGGAAACGAACTTATTTTAAAAGTAAAATAAAAAGGAACAGACTTCTAATACGTGCTACAACAGGGACAAATTTTAAAGTCATTACACTGAGTGCGGCAAGTTACACATAAAGGGACAAATACTGTATCATAATTCCATTTATAGGAATTTTCTGGGATAGGCAAATTACAGACACACGAAGCAGATGAGTGGTTACCAGAGGCTGAGACTGAACAACAGGGAGTTACTGCTTAACGGCTACAGAGTTTCTCTGTGGGCTGCTAAATGTTTTCAGTGTCATGACTACACAACACTGTGAATGTAATTGATGCCACAGAATTGGACACTTCTGAAATACAAACCTTCTATTTAGCCACAAATGTTTAACAACCGTGGAGCTTCCTTTCTCATTATTGCACTAGGTTTGTGCATCAAAAACATTCACATGTAAATGATGCCCAGGACCCCAGGTCTGCTGGAGCTCTCATCCTCAGAAAAGGTGATCCTCTCCCAGAGACACAGCTGTTCTTTAAGTTTCATATGCATAGTGCCCAAGGGAGGACCATTTCCATTGAAGAGAACTGTGCATATGAACATAATTTGGGGGAGGGGTGGGTTACTGGACCTTGGAAGAATCACAGAATTTTAGACCTATAAGTAATCTCAAATCGTCAGGTCCAAAAACAAGCAACATTCTGATGCTTCCATTCAGAGAAATGTGTTGAGCATGTTTTTCTCATCACTGCAAGTCTAAAGAAGGAAAGCGGTGATGTCCCGGGCCTAGGGGGATGCTGTGTACTGACCAGGAACCCTCAAGCGGCTTTAACCCCTTCAACATTCTGACTGTCAGGCAGCCAAACCCGCCTTCCCTTGAACCTCGCCCATCTCCCCTTTAAGTGGTTAGCTACCTTTGGATTTCTAATTTGCTACGTTCAGGTCTCTCCCACTCAAAGTCAACTCTGCCATTTATTTCCTGCAAACACTGGAAACAAAGTCAAGTGCGCCTGGGAAGGTGAGTATTCACCTTCCAGTGTATTCTTTCAGTGTATTCTTCTAACACATTGACAGACTTGTCCACCACCCCTTCAAACGCCTGCTCCTCTGAGCTCTTCAACCACCTGTTAACAGCCTGGAGCTGCTCCAACAATCAGCAACATGCCTACGGACATGACAGAACTTCTAAATTCACATTCCCTATTTTCCTGGAAAAGGCCTAAAACAACACCTTTATACAGTCCACTCAGGTTGTAAAAGATGAAATTCTGGAGACAGATAGTGGTGATGACTGCCCAAAACTGTAAATGTAGTTGGGTCCACGGACTTGCACACGTAACAGCATGGCACACTTGATGGGCTGTGAGTTTACCGTAGTTTTTAAATGCATTCACCTCCATACTACAGCATGCAAATTATCCAACTTGTGGAATATATTTATCTTTTCATTTTCATTTCTCGGTTACCTGCTTCTTGGCCAAAGGAGAAGCATGGAAACCTGAACAGATACTAAGCTAGAGGAGAAAGTGGCTATTTGTCTTTATTTATTAACTGTGTATGTCAAAAAACAATTGTAAGTCAAAAGAGACAAACTCTTAAGAGCTAATTGAAGAAAAATGGTTAAACTATTTTGTCAGGTTTGCTTGTTTCCCATTTAAAGCAATGGTTTTTGGTGAAAGAGGTGTTGCCACTGAAGAGAAGGAAGTCTAGGTTATGTGTGACTCCCAATCACCAAGTGTACAAACGAGCAAGCTTGTAACACCTGCATTCCAGGCCAGTGCCAGTCTGAGTTCCAGATGCTCCAGCTGTAAGCCCTCCTGCCTATGCACCTGGAAAAGCAGCAGCACAGTCCAGGAACTTGGCCTCTGACCCCCATGTGGGAGACTCTGACAGCCTGGCTTCTGGTTCCCGCCTGACACAGCTCCAGCTGTTGGAGGCATGTGGGGAGAGAACCAGAGGATGGAAAAGCTCTTAGACATTCTGACACTTGATTTCTCTCTAATTCTGCCTTTGCACTAAATAAATATTTTTAAAAATTAAAACAAACAAATGTCCTGAGTTTGGAGCCAGACCGCACGCCTGAATCCAAGCTCTGCTACTTCCTGTCTCTGTGACCTTGGAGAAGTTACTTGTCTGTGCAACATTTTCCTCATCTGTAAAATGGAGATAAATAAAGTTCAGGACTTTACAAGGACTAAATGAACTCAAACATGAAAAATGGGAACCAGTGCAATGGCTCAGTGGTTAAATCCTCGCCTTGCACATGTCAGGATCCCATATGGACACTGCTTAGTATCCCAGCTGCTCCACTTCCCATCCAGCTTCCTGCCTGTGGCCTGGGGAAGCAGTAAAGGATAGCTCAAAGCCTTGGGACCCTGCGCCTGCGTGGGAGACCTGGAAGAGGCACCTGGCTTTGGATCAGCTCAGCTCTGAGTGTTGCGGCCACCTGGGGAGTGAAGCAGAAGATGGAAGATCTTCTCTCTGTAAATCTGCCTAATAAAAATACACATCTTTGAAAAAAAAAAAAAGCCTGAAAACCGTTTAGAATCACGCATAGTACAAAGCAAGCATAATCAATCTTATGTGTTAGAATCCTACCCAATTTTCAAAAGAAACATCAAACCAAAAGGGATAGAAAGTCAAATACTTAGTGATGATGGGGAAGGATCATGGAAGACGCTGCTACTGTTACCTCTTACAAAAATCTCAGTAAATCTCTTCAGTTTTGGAGGTAAACATTTTGAGCAGTTTCTATCTTCAATTAAGAACCACGTGGCTTCCAAAAGGTTTCCACTCATACAAATAAAGTAAGAGCGCTATAAACTAATAGCTACCTTTTCAGTTTCAAATTTATATTTTAATTTTTAACCTAAAACTGACATGCTTACTTTTTCCAATTAAGGTTATTAAAGTAATATCATAACTTTCTCATCCATTTTTAGATAACTTTTCTTGGCTGCAAATGCCATGCTAAGGACCTGACATCTGATAATACTGTCAAATCCTCAAGAATCTTTCAAGAGGAAAAAACTAACAATGAGCTGGGTCAAAGGCAGACTGGTAATATAACATGTCAAAAGGAAACCCTACTAGTCTTAAATCAGTTACTGACCAAAAATAACAAACAAGAAGTGATAACGGAATGATTCTCACTAAAATAACAGTGTTCTAAGCAATTCTTATGCAATATTAGTTTATAGTCACTCAGAGTGAGACTGAAAAAAAACCTGTCTTAAATTTCCAGCATACCACCGGAAGTGTTGGGAGTTTTAAAAAAAGCCCCAGAAGATCTGTGACTGGCTGAAATAATTACATAAACAAACAAAAAAAAATCCACTGTAATGTTTCAAAACACAATGAATCTACGTAACACCAATTTTATATAGCAGCTTCTGGAACTGCAAAGACCAAGAAGCATTTCTATAATATAACTCTACTTATGCTAATTATGTCTAAATTTAAAGCTTCATTATAAATGTCAGTAAGTTAGGACAAGCAACTGAAACCCAAGTAACCTATAAACACAAAATGAAAACTTAATTTGGGGTAAGATGAACAAATACCCAAGTATACATTTTATTCTAATACAGTGTTTTGGAGGCCAGCTGTAACATCTTGTTCGAAGCCAACATCCTGAAACTGGCTCGCTCTCTGTTATCTCCGTCAAGCCAGCATTGTTACAATGCTCTCACTGTGGGAAGGAGTTTAGCAGACACACCTCTCGGGCAATGTTACTCAAAGCTTCATCTTCTGCAGAAAACCGGTCTTTCACGGGCGTTCTTTTCCTCCCAGAACCAGGAGTCCCCATCCTGTGTTCTTACGCGTCGTCAGATTTGAATGCGATTTCACTTTGTTTCCTGTCTTAACAGAAACAGAAACAGAATTAATTTAGGATGTTGCCCTTCACGCAGTTTTAACACTCATTTTCACATTCATTTTCCACTTTTATCAGTTAAAGTAAAATTGTCCTTAAAGAAATTTACTGCCAGATGGTGCCAATAAATTTCATATTTAAATGTATACTAACCACTAATCCCTCCTCCTTTCACTCAGTTACCCACAGCAACCTATCAGTGTAGTTATAATATTAGCCTCTCAACACTGCAGTCAGCAGTAATCAACAGTTTTAAATTACTGCAGCTATTTCTAAAATTTATTCCCACTCCAGAGTGAACAGCACTTCAAAAAAGTCATTTAAATTCAAGTTTCAGAACATGTGTTATAAAACTTTAACCACTGGGCCCAGCATGGTGGCCTAGTAGCTGAGCCCTCCCATACAGGAGCCAGTTCTAATCCGGGGTGCTCCACTTCCCATCTGCTTCTCTGCTTGAGGCCAGGGAAAACAGTCGAGGATAGCCTAAAAGTCTGGAACCCTGCACCCACATGGGAGACCTGGAAGGGGCTCTGGGTTCCTGGCTTTGGATTGGCTCAGCTGCGGCCACTGTGGCTACTTGGGAAGGACAGAGAATCTTTCTCTGTCTCTCTTTCTGTATATCTGATTTTCAATGGAAATAAGTAAATCTAAAAAAGAGAGAGAGATTTTAACAATGAGCCTCAAAGTAACAAAGTACATAGCTTTTTACAGTAACTTAAGAAACAATTCCAATTAATCATAACTATATAAAAGAACAACCACATTAAAAAAAAAAAGGAAGTTTTACTGCTCTACAATTAACTGCAACCAACACTGCTTGGTGCGCACTGCTGCCAGCAGAAGTGCTGGCTATACAGTGCTGAACACAAGTGATGAGCCAAGGGACTAGACCATACCTAGGGATCTGCCACTGCTGTTGTGCCTATTACCACAAGAGCAAGGCAACAGGGCCCGGCGGCGTAGTCTAGTGGCTAAAGTCCTCGCCTTGAACATCCTGGGATCCCATATGGGCACCGGTTCTAATCCTGGCGGCTCCACTTCCCATCCAGCTCTCTGCTTCTGGCCTGGGAAAGCAGTCGAGGACGGCCCAAAGCTTTGGGACCCTGCAACCGTGTGGGAGACCCAGAAGAAGTTCCTGGATCCTGGCTTCGGATCGGCATAGCATTGGCCATTGTGCTCACTTGGGGAATCAATCAGCAGCTAGATCTTCCTGTCTCTCCTCCTCTCTGTATATCTAGACTTTCCAATAAATAAACAAATCCTTAAAAAAAAAAAAAAAAAGCAAGGCAACAGACCCATCCTCCAGGAAAGAACAACAAGGACTGTAACGGCCACCTGCCCCTTTGTAACACACAGTAGCTGAGAATGAAGACCCAACAACAGACTGCTCCCCCAACTGCACAGCCTCTGTTCCACACACACTGTTGAGGAGTAATTTCAAAAACGTTTTTCTAGCTTTAACTAAATAAACTGGTAAAACTTCATTACCGTGCAAGCCACGGAATTCATGAGTAAGTCTGATGTCATTAGCGGTAGCCATATTAAAGCTGTAAATTACTCCAATAAACTGGAAGTTACTTTAGGCAAACTAAAGCAGAACCACTTCAACAAAAAGTTTTCCCTAACAAAAATTCAAGTCATTTCTAGATGATAACAGTAATCTTGTACCATTTCCCAGGACTGTTATCAATAGTTACAATAAAGGTTGATGATGTTTTGTTACTCTATCACAGAAGACACAATTAGATATGATCACTGGGAAAAGAATTCATACAGGGGCCCAGCAGCGTGGCCTAGCGGCTAAAGTCCTCACCTTGAACATCCTGGGATCCCAACCAGTTCTAATCCCGGAAGTTCCACTTCCCACCCAGCTCCATGCTGGTGGTTTGGGAAAGCAGTCGAGGATGGCCCAAAGCCTTGGGACCCTGCACCCCTGTGGGAGACCCAGAAGAGGCTCCTGGCTTCGGATCGGCACAGCACCGGTCATTGCGGTCACTTGGGGAGTGAATCATAGGACAGAAGATCTTCCTCTCTCTCTCTCTTCCTGTATATATTTATATCTGACTTTGCAATAAAAATAAATAAATCTTTACCAAAAAATTCATATAAATAGAAACAAAGATGTATCTGAAAGCAACAGCTGATAAGTTCTAAGTCACAAATTAGAGCAATTTCTGAAAAGTATGAAATTTGATCCCAGAAGCCTCCAGTCAGTCGACTTCAGCACCGTTTCAAGGATTATTCACTTACTTAGCAGTATGCAAGTATTAGCCACCAACTGAGAAAAAAGCGACATGAAACACATCCTACTCAACCCGGAGTGACAGTTGAGCTAACGCACGGTGCTATCATTCAATAGCTGTCCTTGACACAACTTCCCAAGGACACATCAAAAGACATCTGATCAAAGCAGGAGACAAAAACGTAGGCATCATGCAACTCCAAGCACATAAAAATAGTTCCACAAGGGAAACAGATTTGGCTGGGAGAGCACCAACAGTTTAACAGTGACTTTTTAGCTGGACAGGTTTACGGATGCTTCTTAACCCTAAATTTCCAACAGCACTGAAGAAAAGAGAAACATTCTTAAAAATAAAACAGAAACATTCAGATCCAAGGCTCGAAGAACAAACTGGTCCTGAAGTGGATCGCATCCAAATTAGGCAATAATATGCTGGGCACACTGTCCCCAACCAGGGCTGGTGAGATTCTTTGAAATATTCTTTCCCCTCCTTTCCCAAACTCCCATTTTCCTTCTTTCTCAACCAACAGCATCTAGGCTAGCCAGGATATCATAGCCCTAAAATTCCAGTTATTTAAAATACATACACACACACACACAATCCTGTCTTAAACTGTCTCAAGCCTAAACTGTTTCAACAAGTCCCGAGCTAGCGAGCCATGAGACATTACAGGAAAGGGACAGAGCCACAGGATGTGCGGGAAACGGATGAACTTCCTGACTGTCTTCCTCGTCCTTCCTGTCCTAGCTTCAGAGCGCTCCCACGTAACTGGCCAAGGTTCGTCAGGTGTGCATGCGACTGAGCCACCCCTGCTTATTTCAATGAACACACATCTGCTCCCGAAAAAGCTGATACTGTTTGTACTCCACAGGCAGGCATCCTTATCGCTTAAAAAAAAAAAAATCCCTAAGTAAGATTTCTAGTACAGCAATGGAAAACCATTTTCTCAACAAGAGGACAGAAATCAAGATGCAGACTCCAAGGCAACGCTGAATGGATTATTTCTGCAAAGAACTTTCAACAATTTTCTATCCCCGAAAGTTTCCCCAGGGAAACCTTAAGGGAGAGTGCTGCTCTCCTTCAGTTTAGTTTTGTTTTCTTTTCATTTTTAATGACTTGAAACAGAGAATCTTCCATCCTAGGGTCCTCCAGCTTGAACTTGCGGCAACAACCAACGGGAAGGGTTAACCCTCTCCCTCCACTGAAGGCAGCCGCCTGCATTTCTGCCAAGCCTCAAACCCAGATAGTGTCCAGCTGATTTTCTCCAGATGGCTCTGTCCTCAAGTGTGTGTCTCCTCAAAGCAAAGAAGGGAAATACCTTCAGGATGTTGCAGAAACCTTGCAATACAGATGCAGCCTTCCCTCCTTCAAAACCTCACATGCAGCACATGCTGAAACGCAGGCATTTTGCCACATTCAAAGCAGAACTTTGCTCAGAGTACTGTTGACTTTTGTAAGAGGACGGTGTTCATCAGGATCAGTTTGTCATATTCTAAATATAACACACACGGGCAGGGTGGTGCCCGCCTGACAGTTCCTCTACAGCCACACACTGTATCACAGAGCACTAAGGATACCGCCAGAGTGTTATCTTTGTATCTGATACATCTGCCTTTAAATGAACTGAGCTTCACAACAAAATATCTGGCAGTTTTTCATCAACAAGCCCCGCGTCTGGAATGCTCGCTGTGGCGGAAGGTGTTGCTGCTGAGCTGATTCAAGGGGGGGGATGCACGGCTTCGGCTCACCGCTCTACCTCTCTCTCACTCTTCCTGCAAGTCTTAGCTTTTCTTCGTCTGCAAATCAGACATGACCAACTACTCTACCTATCTTTTTTCTTTTTGTGATACAGTTCCATCCAGAAGAGGATGGCCTAAATCCTTGAGACACCATACCCATGTGAGAGACCTAGATACAGTTCCATCCCCTCTATTATTATAATAGCACAGTCCTAACTTAACACAGTCAGTGTGAGGTTCAAGTGAGTTCAGATAATGGCAAGTCTAATTTAAAAACAAACTGCAAAGCACCCCATAAACATTTAAAGTGTCTGAAATTAACTACTTACATGTTGACCTTATGAGAACAATGGGAGATTCCTGCCTTTCTTTACAACTTTATACTTGTAACTAAACAGAAACGTTTTTTGAGTTATTTTCTCCTTCGTATACTATGTAATATCATGAATCATAAGAATTTTTATAGAAGTGTGGAATAATCTAGGAGGAAAAAAAAGAAAAACCTTTCTAACCATTTTATTGTGTGACAAGTTTTTTTTTTTTATATACCATAAAATCAGAAACAAATTAAGGTATATAACAATACTCTCCTTAGTCCCTGCAGGGCAGGGAGAGAGAAACAAAGGGGAGTGTTCCCATCCAAGAATTTAATCCCCAAATTCCTGCAACCCCCTCCCCTCTGCCTGCCTAGGCTGAAGTCATAAGCGGGCAGCAGGGAACTCCATCCCGGCAAGGACAGCAAACTACTCGAGTTCTGCACACTGTTCCCCAGGGCTGACACAGCAAGAAGCTGGAGGCCACACTCCAAACCAGGCACTGAACCTGGGCACTCGGGCATGGCCCATGGGCGTCTGGACCAGTTTCTAAGCTAAATGCTTAACCTTGAATTTTTGAAAAGATACACTTGGGATTAGTGGGGAGGGACAGAGTTTGGGGTACAGCAGGTTAAGCCACCCTCTTGCAAGGCCAGCATCCCATATGGGTGTCAGTTCTGGTTCTCCCAAC